TGTTCTGTCAGAACAATACTCTGTTTGTAACCATGCGTCATGTTCTGTTAATAAAATGCTCTGCAGAGGAGGTCCAGTGGGAGACAGGGTGTTTGAGTCTGGGGTTCAACTGTCTCTCCTTCCTGCAGGAATTGTATCCATAATTGTGTTTTTCAGTTCTTCTTTTGCAAGAACCTACATTTTATGAACCCGACAACCCTAAACAGACCAGTTTTTAAGTAAAATTTTATTTCATATAAATTACTTCACAATTTTGTTGCTGTTTTGCTCTGTAAGGAAAAAAAAGTTAAAACAAGATGATATGAGGACGTTAATTAATTTACTTGAAACATGAAGTAGGGCTGAAACAATTACTGAAATGATCCAAAACTAATTTAGTAATTAATATAATTAATATTTAGTAATTAATTAACTAGAGTAAAGAGACTGTAGTTCATGACATTGAATGAAAGAGCAACTCACATAGAGCAGTAATTATGCTGAACAGGCAAAAAAATAAAAGACTTTACATTTAGATAAAAAAAATTTTTAAAAATTTCCCCCATCGGCTGTTTGTGGTCACAACAAAGTGTACCGACATTTTTCTAATACTGTATATACATGTATATAATTTTCTGTTTTCAGCACCCTAGGCTGATAAGGGTCACCTTGTACAGAATTTAAAGTCACAGTTGTCGCTGCTGCATTTGAACACCCCACTGCGTTCGATGACGGCTGTGCAGTAAAACCAGGGCTGCTTCCTCTAACAGAAGTTCGGCCCTTTCCTTTGACCAAAGGACCCCTGACTTCCTCCCATTCTTTTGCTCTGTATGGAAAATGAAAAGATTTCAATGAGCGCTTCTGACTTTCACTAAGACACAATAAGAATGAAGCCTTTTGACCACAAATAGAATATTTTGTTTCTTTATGCCTTTTTCTTCTCTTCTGACCACTTGGTAAGTACGTCTGGGATGTAGATCACATTTATCTACGGTATTAGTCTGCAGATCCAACTTGCTGCACTGTTTCCTCTGACGTTTACGGCTTAATTTTTGCCTAATTTATGTTGCTTTTGATGCAAACAGACATTCCTGTGAGATGCTATAGAAGTTATAAATTGAACTCCTTGAGTAAAACCAAGAATAAGGCTAATTAAAGTCTATGGTGCACTGGAAAAAATCGAAATCTAGATAAGTCACTTTCTTAAAATAAATGCATTTATTCTTGGATTGAGGA